GGACCAAAATACGTATTAAACCTAAAAAAGGACTAACGTGCATCGTTTTTGCGAAAAGTGGGATCTTAGTGAACTTTTGAAAAAAAGTAGGACCAATTTGAACAGACCCTACGAAAAGAGGGACCAAAATACGTATTAAACCTAAAAAATGACTAACGTGCATCGTTTTTGCGAAAAGTGGGATCTTAGTGAACTTTTGAAAAAAAGTAGGACCAATTTGAACAGACCCTACGAAAAGAGGGACCAAAATACGTATTAAACCTAAAAAAGGACTAACGTGCATCGTTTTTGCGAAAAGTGGGATCTTAGTGAACTTTTGAAAAAAAGTAGGACCAATTTGAACAGACCCTACGAAAAGAGGGACCAAAATACGTATTAAACCTAAAAAATGACTAACGTGCATCGTTTTTGCGAAAAGTGGGATCTTAGTGAACTTTTGAAAAAAAGTAGGACCAATTTGAACAGACCCTACGAAAAGAGGGACCAAAATACGTATTAAACCTAAAAAATGACTAACGTGCATCGTTTTTGCGAAAAGTGGGATCTTAGTGAACTTTTGAAAAAAAGTAGGACCAATTTGAACAGACCCTACGAAAAGAGGGACCAAAATACGTATTAAACCTAAAAAATGACTAACGTGCATCGTTTTTGCGAAAAGTGGGATCTTAGTGAACTTTTGAAAAAAAGTAGGACCAATTTGAACAGACCCTACGAAAAGAGGGACCAAAATACGTATTAAACCTAAAAAATGACTAACGTGCATCGTTTTTGCGAAAAGTGGGATCTTAGTGAACTTTTGAAAAAAAGTAGGACCAATTTGAACAGACCCTACGAAAAGAGGGACCAAAATACGTATTAAACCTAAAAAAGGACTAACGTGCATCGTTTTTGCGAAAAGTGGGATCTTAGTGAACTTTTGAAAAAAAGTAGGACCAATTTGAACAGACCCTACGAAAAGAGGGACCAAAATACGTATTAAACCTAAAAAAGGACTAACGTGCATCGTTTTTGCGAAAAGTGGGATCTTAGTGAACTTTTGAAAAAAAGTAGGACCAATTTGAACAGACCCTACGAAAAGAGGGACCAAAATACGTATTAAACCTAAAAAAGGACTAACGTGCATCGTTTTTGCGAAAAGTGGGATCTTAGTGAACTTTTGAAAAAAAGTAGGACCAATTTGAACAGACCCTACGAAAAGAGGGACCAAAATACGTATTAAACCTAAAAAATGACTAACGTGCATCGTTTTTGCGAAAAGTGGGATCTTAGTGAACTTTTGAAAAAAAGTAGGACCAATTTGAACAGACCCTACGAAAAGAGGGACCAAAATACGTATTAAACCTAAAAAAGGACTAACGTGCATCGTTTTTGCGAAAAGTGGGATCTTAGTGAACTTTTGAAAAAAAGTAGGACCAATTTGAACAGACCCTACAAAAAGAGGGACCAAAATACGTATTAAACCTATTTTTTACTATTTCTAACAGTTCAATAATATTTTATTATTATATATATAGTTATGCTAAAATGTTTTAATACATGTTAAATATTTAATTATATCAACAAAAGTATTGACATGTAATACAATATATTTTTTTACAAAATCAAATATTTTATGCAGATAAATAGGAATTTTTTTATTAATCATTTATACGAATTGAATTCATGTCCAATGGTGTATATCTTCTCGAAAAATCCATGGTTTTTCACCCTTTTTTCTTATGACAGTGAAACATCAAACTTTTATTTTGTATTAGTTTAATCGAAGGAGAGAGATATATGGTACTGAAGAATTATAATGAACACACGTTATATATAAAAGCGGAGGAGTATATATTAATAATTAGTAATTATTTTGTTATCTAGGGAAAACTGCCATATTTGGTTCCTCATAAGTTGTAATAATAGTAAAACAATAAACTTGAAGAAACCATAATAAGAATATACTATTTAATTAGAGGACATGTAATAATAAAAAAATATGATGGTTGTTGTTGTTGTTGAGTACGAAGTAAAAGGAGAATCATACGAGAAATCTAACATGTGTGATATAAATTTCTAACAATTTACATGAAAAGTGACCTTCCTTAACACCATATTGATTATGCTTTCCTTAGAAGATTCTCAGGTATATGGCAGAAACAAGATACATGGTTTATGTCTGCCTCATCACATTGTTTGTAATGTTACAATGGCACCTTACTTCGGCTGAGGAGAAAGCATTGGATACAGAAACAAAAAAACATGTTAGCCAGCAACATGTTCCACTCATAGAAAAGAAGTTGTTGGAAGATCTTGATTTTTTCAATCACCGTAGAAAGCTTGCAGGTTCAGATAAAGAAAAGAAGAAGAAGAAGAAAGACAAGAAGAAGAAAAAGGATAAATCTTCAGCCAAGCAAAGTACAATATCTGTATCCAAAGCCACCTCAATTTTTTGTACTTCCATTTTACTTGCTTTTCTTCTCATGTAATTGTTTTGTATGTTTTTCAATATAAATTGTTTGTTCACAATTACTTGGGATCCATATATGTTCTTGTTCTCTTCCAATCCTTGAAGATTGCATCTAGCTTTGTGGCAACAAGAAATAAATTTCAAAACATGTAATAATAATGTATTAATATATATATACACACGTATGTATATATATTGATATACATGAGTGAAACAACCATTCTCCAACAAGATGTACTCGAATTTATGTTCATACGAATCCATTCTTATGAGAGTGGGAATTATTAGAAACATACAAAACCAGTAATTATTTTTACAATTTCAAAATTACATATGTAATATTTCTATGGAAATTAAATATTGATATTTAGTTTTTAGGTTGTAAAATGATTGTATATTATATATTGTTATATCTATAATCTAAGTAATGATATTTTTTACGGTAATATTCTATATACTTTTTCTAAATTTATTACAAAATATTTATTATAATTAAAACAATTAATATATTTTTGTTAAAAAGAAAAATAAAAAATAAAAGAAAAACAATCTTTCCTTTGATAATTATTCCACTAAGAACTAAATTTGTGATTTTGATTAGCTTTCCATTAAGTTAAGATTATAAGTAATAATCAAAACATAACTTTTTCTATTTAAGAATATAACAACTCAAACATCATGATTTTGTCCACTTGATCTATACCACAAAACACTTTGTGTACTCTGCAACACTGAATAACCAATTTGTGACATATGAAGTTGAGATCAAATACGTCGGTCACATTCTATGCAAATAAGTGAGTGTTATAAAGGAAAACTTCTTCAAGTTGTTTTGTTATGAAGTGAGTTCTCCGACTAGTGTGATTAAAAGAAAGTAAATTTTTGTTTGACCTAAAGGACACTTTGAGAATAATATGTAAAGTAAAAATTCAACTTAAAATATTATAAATATACAACTTTATATCACATGGGTGATACCCTAGTGATACTAGGAAATGTTGGAAAATAAACAAAACAGAAGCTATTCTGTTACAGTGTGTGCGGTTGTGTATAAATAAGCATTGTATCATTCATTTACAGGTTAATAAAATTTTTGAGGTATTATTCAGTTTACCTGTGTGCATTTGTGAGTCTTTGACCGGTTGTTTCTCTGCATCCTGGTGTTGCTCAGCCGTGAGTGGTGGTGATCTCCAAAGGGGCTGAAACCCTAGCAGAGCTCGGGGTGCTTTCATTCTCTCAGATTCTCATTTTTCTCTGTCCACGTTCTGTCTCTCTCCCACTCTCACGTGCTCACATTACTTTTAAAGTAAAGTAATATCTGAGTGTGGGAAAATACAATTCTGCCCTTTTATTCTAATAGGAAAGACACACATAAGAATATTTTTGTACTTTTTGTTTTCTTTTGTTTTTGAATTAGTATTAAACCATAAGCGATTGAACATCTTTTTAGAGGTTGATCTCACCACCCAAATCATGTAATTTATCCTTTTCTTTGTAACATTATTTGGTTATTCAAATAATTTTTATTTTTTACCTTTTTCTTAATTTGTTTGGTCGAACTAATCAAATCATGATTTATAATTTTAATTGATTGGTAAAGTATTTTATAAATTAATATTTTCATAAAAGTTGAGATACACATTTTATGGAATTATGGAAATTATTTGACAAATTATCAATTAATATCTTTATGGAAATTATTGACAAATTATCCGTCAAATATAAACTTTATCTATAAACACATATCATATCATAGTAACCTTTGTGACAATGTTTTAAAATGTACTTCATCGTTTTCCTATTGTGTTTTAACCTATTTTAATGTATGATTGAATTTTTATTTATTGATTTTACTATCATTTTTAAATTTTAAGATGACACCTTTGATCATTTATATTATTATTATTTACTTAATGTTCACTTACTTTACCTATTTTTTCGATTATATTATTATTATTAGTTTCTTAATATTCACTTAGTTTACCTATATACGTATTTATTTTGATATAGAGATAAAAAGGTTAAAATATAAAATGTTATAAATATTCTATGAAATTAAATAAACTATTATATTTTATAATTTTTCTATAGCAACCATAAATAACATTTACAAAAGATAATGGGAAACTCAGATTTCCCATGATGAGAAATAACGGTTTGCCATCATAACCTTCACCCAAAGTGATTGCTTATTAAAACAAAAGCATAACTTTGGTTTTTTAAGGTTAATAATAAATTTAGTTCTTGAATGTCGGAAAATTTTTGATTTAATTATTAACACAACACAAAAAGTTTAATTTAATTTCTAAATCAGTAAACAATACAAAATTCATCCCAATAGCTTGATAGTAAAATAATTATGGATTCAGTGCCAAATGAATTTTTAAAATTTTTTAACAGTAAAGTAGTCCAACCAAATTTAAGAATAAGACATTAAAAGACTTGTTTTTTAAATATTTAATGATTAAATAAGATTTTTCATTGTTTCTAGGAGTAAATTGATGGAAGGAAATTGGTTATTTATTTTTATTTGGTTTTTTCTAATAGGGGTGTTGATATTTATTTTTGTTAGGAGATTCGGTTAGTGTTCTAGCGTTGGGGAAGTGAAGAGAGTTTGTGGATAATAATGTTGATAACTGTTAGGGAAGCTTCTTGTTCTTCTCCCCTCAATTTCTGGCTTAATCGTTTCAAACCAAAACCCTCTAAACCATTCAAAACATCCATTTGCCAAGCCAGTTTCTCTGTCCAAAGAACACCCACCCATTCATGGAAAACTCGGCATCTCTCAACCTGGTACGCAACTGCCTCTACCCACTTTTCATTCTTATTTGTTTTTTTGCTCAAACACTTATAATGGGTTGAATCTCTCCGCCAAATTTTCATTCCAATTATTTCTTCTTCAATGGGAACTCTTCAAAAGACAAACTTGAACAATTGGGCTCGTTAATTTTTTCCTTTTTTGATTGAATTCTGTCTTTGTCTGTTTTTGGTTCAGAAGTACCAGTTGCTTTTACCATTATCAATATGCTTCTTCGTTATTGTAACTTTTGGAGTGGAGAAATCTAGTGGTGTGGGGGGATCACTTTTATGTGTGAACTTTCCACTCCACTCAATGAATTAGGCATTTTCTGTTTCTTGGACCAAAGACTGTTGTGGTTGTGAATGTGATCATTGGCCAATTCAATTGTGTCTTCTACTCAGTGTTAGAGAAATCTACAGTCATTTAAATTTCTTCCGCCGTGTTTTTGCTTGTAATTATTTTGTCCCATGTGTGCTGTTTCAAACTCTGCAGCAGTGATGAAGCACACTTTGATCCCTTGGGTATCAACTCAAGTTTACCTTCTGCTCTGAATTCTACCTGGGAAAATCTGTTGTGCTTGTTTACACAACCATTTGAGAGTTCTTCGAGTACAGAAAAGGGAAAACCTAACAGCTCACAAGGGGTGGCAGGTGACATTTTTCTCTGTATCTTATTGAACCTGAATTATGTGTCTTTTTTATCTCTTACCAATAGAGGATTTTTCAATTGATTATTTATTTTGGCAATGCAGCTGCAATAGAGAATAGTTCAATAGATTTTGGTGACTTTTTTAAAGGTCCACTTCCAGGGAAGTTTCTCAAACTTTTAGGGTTTCTTGCCTTGTCACGGCTCGGAGTTTACATACCCCTAGGTGGAGTTAATAGGGATGCTTTTGTTGGAAATTTAGATCAGAACAGTTTGTTAAGCACTTTGGACTCGTTTTCTGGTGGTGGTATTGGTAGACTCGGGGTATGCTCCCTTGGTATTGTTCCCTTCATCAATGCACAGATTGTTTTCCAGCTTCTTGCACAAATATATCCCAAATTGCAAGATCTTCAAAAGAGAGAAGGTGAGGCTGGAAGAAAGAAAATTCTGCAGTACACTCGATATGCTTCAGTCGGATTTGCCATTGTGCAGGTCAGCAATTTGTGAAGTTTTGTTTGGGCAATTTCTTTTGCAAAAAATTACTTATGTTGTGCACTCACTTTTTTCAAAATGGAAAAAGAACGCAAGTGTATGTTGGAAGTGCTTATTGCTAATTGAGTTTTCTCTGAATTTTTGTGTTTGTTTCTCTTTCTTACTACAGGCAATCGGCCAAGTTCTTTACCTACGTCCCTATGTCAATGACTTTTCTGTAGAGTGGGTTCTTTCTTCTGTAATCTTATTGACTCTTGGCTCTGTGTTTACAACATATATTGGGGAACGAATTACAGACCTAAAACTTGGGAATGGCACCTCTCTTTTGATATTCACGAACATTATATCCTACTTGCCAGCTTCTTTTGGTAGGACAATTGCACAAGCATTTAATGATGCTAACTACGTTGGACTTGCTACCATTATAGTGTCCTTCGTCTTTTTGGTGGTTGGTATCGTTTATGTTCAGGTAAATACCATTTTCATAGTTATAATAGAGATCTATTTGAGTCAGCGAAGAGAAGTTGATCTCAAACAATGGCTTTCAGGAAGCAGAGAGAAAAATCCCTATTAACTATGCTTCTAGATACACCAGCAAAACCACTGGACTTGAAAAGTCCGCTTACCTACCCTTTAAGGTCCTTTCTCCATTTCACCAATTTATAGTTTTATCTTTTGTTAAATTTGTTTCTTCCATCTATTTATTTCATGTATTTTAACTATGCATGGAATTTATTTCATCCAACATCAAATTTGAGCTGGTAAATCTTCTACTGTCAGGTAAATAGCTCTGGAGTAATGCCTATAATCTTTTCTACGTCGTCATTAGCTCTTCCTGGTACTTTAGCACGCTTCACTGGTTTAACTGCTTTAAAGAAGGCTGCGGTGGCATTAAATCCAGGAGGTAATTGGTTGTTTCATGATAGGTTTCAACTTAGGATGGAAAGATTTTGAAGAAAGAATAAGGCTGTGAGACTTTGTTGTACAGTGTCTATTAGTCAGTGTAACCATGAAATAAATGAGGTATTGGAGAGACATCTCTCCTAGCAACTTCTGAGTCAGTTCTTAATTGTCTAAGTACCACCCGGTTTGCTCCTATTTGTAAGATATTCACTTACAACTGTGTTTCTCCTCTATAAGCAGTCACATACTCTCTTAATCACTGTTCTCTTGTCACTGCACTAGATTTATGTTAAGACTTTCGTGAAATGCCTTGCCCTGACATTCCGTGTTGATCTTGTGTATTTGACAAATACATAATGCAAACACTGGCATTGTTGTTGCCATACACTGTTGAAATGAATTTCAATTATGCTTTATTGTTCTTAAAACTTGTTTCTTTATAAATTGATGTTTTTTACTTAACTGGATATTTGTTGTAGGTTCCTTCTACCTTCCATTCAACATACTGTTGATAGCCTTCTTCAACTATTATTACACTTTCCTACAACTGGACCCTGATGATGTGAGTGAACAACTGAAACGACAAGGTGCTTCAATTCCACTCGTCAGACCAGGCAGAAGTACAGCTACATTTATCAAAACAGTAATTTCTTCCTTTTCTAGTTTTGCATTACATGATTTCCTTCTGATTATAACTTGTCTTTGTTCTCTTAAAAATATATTATATACCAATAAAACTTCTGATTATAACTTATCAAGTTTTGCTGATCTGATGAAAGTTTAAAATTGTCAGGATTGTGATATCGTTTTGTGAACGAGTGAAACTTAGTTTTTAGCTATTGAAAATTCAATTAACATTCTATATTGAACTCAAAACAAGTGAAACCATTGGCTTTCTCCATGGTGCAGGTTCTTAGTAGAATATCAGTTCTGGGTTCAACATTTTTGGCTATCTTGGCTGCTGGTCCAGCAGTTGTAGAACAGATCACTCACTTGACTGCATTTCGGGGATTTGCAGGAACTTCTGTTCTTATTCTTGTTGGTTGTGCAACAGACACGGCAAGAAAAGTTCAAGCTGAGATTATATCCCAAAAGTACAAGAACATAGAGTTCTATGATTTTGATAAATATTGACCGCTTAAAGGATTATTTACAAAACTAGAAAAGTTCTGCCACATGATTCTCCCCAGAGGAAATGCTGCTAAAAGCCACCCGTCGTACAACAGTGTAACTTACATTTTATATCGGCCTGTAAATAATGCTGTAGAGCAGCCATTTGCTTTATTTATAGTTGGAATGATTGCTCGAAAGTCAATCCGGTTTGGTGGTTTTGGTAGCATGTAGCACCCCGTCATCATTTGTTGCAATTAATTAGCGTATTATTGGCATTCCATTACCACGCAATCAGGTCGACAAATTAAGGGCTACGAGTAGCATTCAAAATGCAAGAGAACAACGATTTCACCTGCTCCTTTTTTTCACCCTTTTAACTATTAGAACCATTAAACAGAGTTTGATGCATACTTTGCACAATATTAATCAGCTTACTTAGATGAAAATTACATGTCAGATTACACACAACTGAGTGATACATCAAAATTACAATACATTAACATTACAGCCACTTGCTGAGTATAAACTTACATCCACCTTTGTATCTTTCTCATTAAAATTCATATCAACTACCAGCAAGGGTCTTTAGGCATGCCGGATTTGTAACCTACTGATTCATTATCCACACTGAAATATGTAGGTTGTTACAACTGAATCTGAAAACAAATGTCACTGACTAAGTGTAACTAATCATCATCGGCTTCGGCGGAAAAGTCGGGTTCTTCGGGCTTTGGTAACTTGGGCATGTCATCTTTAATTTTCAAGGCTCCTCTTCGTGTATTAGCAGCAAATCTCGAAGCAAGAATTGTTGCCCCAAGGTTCAATTTAGCTTGAGCTGAATTTGAACTGGCAGAATAGTCCTCATGTTCTCTCTCACTAGCTACTGTCTCATCTGAAGGAATGGATTCCCTCAAACCAAGGTCTTTCATAGATATCCTTTTCTTATATCGGCGCCAAGCAGCCTGTATAAAGCAGGCTGCCCAAGTCCTCCAATGGTGGGAATAAAATCGAAAAGTGTGCTGCAGCTTTTTACTGTGAAGGCGCCTAAATTGATTGGCAACAAACTTGAGGTCTTCAGCCCGAAGAGCAAAAGCCTCGACCTCACTTATGGCTTTAACTGTCCTGGTTGAAGAAGGCAAATTAATGGTTGATTTTGGGAGTAACGCCCAAGAGAGAAGCTCCTCGCCACAAAAATCTCCAGGTCTCAATATGATTGAGTTGAAGAAACCAGTACGGCCACCGTTGGTAGTAGAACTATCCAGTCTACCTCTAATGATAAAAAGCATTTCAGTCACGGGGTCACCCTCACGAACAATGTAGGTGCCTTGAGTGCTCAGAGACGATACCAGCCGCTCACATATTGCATCCAGAAGCTGATCATCCATCTGTGAGAAGAAGGGAACCTGAAAACGAAAAAAGTAATTTGTTTAAATACTTATAAAAGAGTAAATGTATATACTTATTAACATTCTACGTTCATTGGCATCAATGAGAATCAATCTCTCAATGCAACTTCTATTCTACCCTACAATAAGAAGCCCACTTGCTAATGTCAAACTCAAGACACAAGAAGATAATTCAAACTAAAGATGTACCTAATGCGTAAATCTTCAATACAGTAAAGCATTTTGTGAAACTTTACGCATTACAGCTCCTACTAAAGGAAATCATAAAATACGATATTTTGATAGAACTGGAAGAACGGTCTATATTAAGTTTCAAATTGTGGACATGAGCACAGAAAGATTTGTATAGAACTTAAAACAGTCAGCAGAAATCGTACTCTTCTAACAAGGTCTAAGCAAAGGTGTCTTTGAATATCACGGCGTAGATCAGCTGGTAATGCACGTAGAATGGTTTCCTCATCAACTCCACGAGTAGCAAGCCATTTATATTGAACAAATCGTCCAACACGACTTCTCAAATCTTCAGGGAGTTGGCGATGCTTCATCCATTCTTCTGTGTCCCTTCGCTTGAGCCTCCACTCCTCAAGCCTTATAGTGATAGATTGCAAATATGTCTAGCCAAAGAAAAAACCTCAATGCAGAATCAAATTAAACAAAAAAAAACAACTAAACACTGCATTATATTAGTATAGTAGATTGCAAATGATTCTAATCGAGTCTATCAGCTCATTTGACCTTGTGTTACGTAGCACATAGTAGTATATTAGATTGCTAATGATTCTAATAAAGTCTAACAGCTCATTTGGCCTTGTGTTACGTAGCACATAGTATAGTAGATTGCTAATGATTCTAATAAAGTCTAACAGCTCATTTGGCCTTGTGTTTTGTAGCCCATATATCCCTTTGTTAAAAAACCACGTTGGGAGAAGTCCCAAAAAATTCTAGAAATTTCTAATTCTCCACTCTACCTGAAATAGGTAGCAAGTGAAGTTTGTTTTAAATTCTTGATAATTTAGATATTAATTATTTGTACACTGAAAACAAATTATATGCAAATACCTGCATGTTCCCAATCAAATGGGAAAATAATACAAGACCTAAGATAGCAATGACAATGGCGAATGATGTTTCCCCAATAAACGTGCTAGTTTCTAGGTTTTGCCCATAAGAACTGCAACAAAAAAAATTAAGAAAATGAGCATCAACAAACTATCATTTATCTCTAAAATATTAAAATTAAGACATAACAAACTCCCTACCAGCGCTACATACAATTTCAGAGTCTACTCAAGTTTAGCACATCTTATAGTTATTTTATTCTTATCCATTACATATAAGAGCATTCTCATCCCTATACCAACTTAATTGTTAGACCTAGATGATCTGATAAGATCTTACATTAACTTATCAAGACAGTTTAGGCTTATAAAGAGATAGCGTCTTATAAAGCTTAGGCTTCTATCACCTTATATGCCAGATTAGTAAGAATGAGTCAGGCCTCAATCATTAGTATTGGGAAAAAACTAAGTCCAATAATATTAACTACAAATAGTGTCAATCCTGCAAGTACGGAGAACATTGCAAGCTGATGTGGATGCTGAATCAGGTGAGGCACGGATCACTGCCACATTGTGATGAAAATTGTCAAGTTGAAGGATTTGCACTGCGTGAATCCTTTCCATCTTGTGAAGCTAGAATTTGACAGTCCATTGCTGTCTGAAAAATGACCTGAACAGACCCAAAAACAAAGCTCAACACTCATGACCTTTATGCTCCGCTAGGGTCCCCATCACAAATCAGAAATGAAGGAGACCCATGAGTCAAAGGTGCATGCGCCTCTTGACATTGCTGCTGTTGAGCATCCATCACTGTCATCACCGACAACCATTGAAGCACTGATGCTAACCTTCATTGTCAACAGCATCCCAACACTCATGAGTCACAACCATCGTCTTCAGTATTTCCTTGTTTTGGGTTCTCTCTATTCCACTCACACTCACTACCTGTTCTGATCACTTCTCTTGCTAATCTACTCACTTCCGTTGTTCTACTTGCTTCTTCCATTCTTGCTGGAGTTGTCTATTCTGTGCAGAATTTGAAGGAAAAAAATGGCATCAGCTGAAGGTGGTTCAAGTCACACTCCTAAAAGAGGAAGTGGAATTGGAGCAAGCACTGACACTGCATGGAGTCATTGTGTCTCAATTGATGGGAAAGCAAAAAATGTTAAAGTAAATATTGAGAAAGTATTAACATGTGAAATTTACTGATTGAAGCATCATCTAACAGGAACTTCAAAGGATGTCTTGAAGATGCTAAAAAGATAATGCTGGATGTGGTTTATCAGCTGCAGAAAATTTTGATAAAAAAATAAAAATGAACAGAATTTGAATGGGAGAGTAGTACGGCTGATTCAGAAAATGCTGGAAAAAGACTAAGGCAAGAAGAAGAGAATAATGACTCATCAAATATTTTCGAGAAAAGGGGCAGTCAAACTATTATCAATGCCGATTTTAGAAAAAGTGCTAGAAAGGATGCATGTCAAAAAATTGCTCTATTTTTCTACATCAATGCTATTCCATTTAGTGAAGAAAAGAGTGAGGAGTTCAAGAGGATACTTGAGTTGGTTGTCAAACATGATGTCAGATTTAAGTGGCCAAACATACCATACATAAGGGTGAAATATCTGAAGCAAGCAGCTGACAAGACCAATCAGATTTTGGAAGAACATAAACTGTTTTGGATATAGGTGCACAATAATAACATATGGATGGACCGCTAGAAAGAGAAAGACGATATTTAATTATCTGGTACATACTCCGGGGATTGTCTTTTGGAATTCTATTGATGCTTCTAACATATGTAAGACAACCAAAAAATTTGCAGGATGATAGATGATTTTGTTTAGGAGGTTGGAGAAGAGAATGTGATCCAAATTCTACTAATAATGCAACAAACTACAATAATGCAAAAGAGAGAAAAGTTATATTGGACACCTTTTGCAGCTCATTACATTGATTTAAAGATGGAAGGTTCTGAGAAGAAAATTCCACTCCATCATGAGAAAATAGCGAATGATAAAAGTGTACTGTCCCGATCGTCTGGGATCCGACCCGATACTCGAAGATGGATAGAACACCCAAAGGCTGATCCAAAGTTTATGGGCCCAGAAATTGGGCCTAAGTCCTTCTTATAACTAGTTTTGATTTAATTAATAAATCTTATAGTATAGGAAATATTTAGCAAAAGATAAAAGTGTTTATATTTTGTTATTATCTTTGTATTTTGTAACTGAAATATTATCTTCTTATTTGGAAGATAAATTATTTGTAGCCACTTTATTCATAAACAGAAAGACACACCAAAGGTTAAGGCACTTGAATTTTCTGGCTTGAACCTTTGTTAACTTTGAGATAAATTATACAATCTCTATATTTGTTCTCCGGTTTAGGACACCCAACTTTTTACTAGAACATAAGAAAATTACAACCTACATCTATTTAAGAACTGGTTTTATTTCCTTGTTGCACAAATTTACTGAAGAGACAGATTTAATAAGACAAGCCAACACTAGTTTTGCCACTTCTTATTTGACTTTGGAATGTTCACTTATTAGGATGTTCACATCAAAGGCATGGCAATCTAGTCAATTTGTAAAGAATAGAGATGGAGGGCTCATGAAAAATTCAACATTGGATATGGGATTTTGGAAAAATATTTTGAATTCCATGAGGGGTGTTCTTTGCCTAATTAAGGTGTTGTGAATGGCATATTCACATGAGAAACCAGCCATTGGATTTAATTATGAAGAAATGGATATTGGTAAAGAGAAGATACAAAGTCTCTTCAATGGAGTTAGTAAAAGGTAATAAAAACTAATTACCTTTCACTTATTTGATTTTCTAATTTATTTTTTAGAATTATAGACTTTATTATTTATTGTTATCTAACTTAGCTACACTCCCATTTGATAAATCATTGATCAAGGATGGGACAACCAATTGCATAGGCAATTGCATGGCGCAGGATATTATCTTAATCCCATGTTGCACTATAATGTAGTGTTTAAAGCTAATTATAAAGTGAAGGGTGGAATATATCATATATGATTGTTTAGAGAGGTTGGTGGGAGACACTAATGAGTTTAGTAAGATTGATGCTCAGACTGAAAGTTTCAAGAGCATATTTGGATTTTTTTTGGTAGTCTAATAGCTCAACATGCACTCAAAACCAAAACTCCAGCAAAATGGAGGGAATCATATGGTGATCAACATAAAAATTAAAAAAGGTTTGCTATTAGAGTATTGAGTTTGACTTGTAGTTCATCCGGGTGTGAGGGTAATTAAAGTGCTTTTGAGAGAGTAAGAATTCAAATTATGAAATTGATTCTATAATTATTTACCTATACCATCTAGTAGCCTAGTATGATGTGTTACCTAATTTTATGATTATAAAGGTTCACACCTAGAAAAGAAATCGTTTAAAGCAAAAGACCGTGAATGATTTGGCATTTGTGATGGCCAATTCAAGATTGAGCAAGAAGGAAGTTAGGAAAACAAATTACTATAGCATTGATGATCTAGCTTTTGATGATGAATGGACTATAGAGGAGAATGAAGCAAATTCAACTTTAGATGCTTCAAATGAAGACATCTTAGTTGAAGTTGGAGTAGATGAAGATGCTAGTGGTGGTACTGCTGATGGATGATTTGGAGGTTCCTCCAATTGCTAATAATGAAAATGAAGATATCGTGGAGCAGGCTGACTATCCTACTTTTAATATGAACCTTGGATAGTTTCTTGGCATTAAACATCTATGAATTTATTAGTCATTTTATTTATGAGTAATTTTATGAATTGACAATCTATTTTTAGTTGTGTTATGCATTGATCTTACTACTTGAGACTTATTATGAGCTATTAGTTGTCATCTCTATTATTCTTAATGCATGCACATGTATACGGACATAATTTTTTGTATACTCAACTCTTACAATTAGTTGCAATCTTCAAGCTTCGATTTCTTATCTCCCTTTCCAATCCTTTTACGATTCTGAAGTTTGACAACATTGGTGGTGTGACAGAAATTCACAATAGAATTCAGTTTCAAAGGGTTTATTAGACTGAAAGGAGAGCTCGATGAGCTTTTACAGTGATGAAAGAAAGATCAGAGCCTAAGCAACTCCAAAAAAATATCCACATCCAGCTTATATGCCAAACAAACCACAATGTTCATTTCCCCAACTCCCATGCTCACTTATTAAATACCCAATTGCTATCATGTGTCACTTATCCTGACTGCTAGTCAACTGCAATTCTTACTCCTTCACAGAATGGACATACCATATTGTGAGCACTTTTAGCTACAAGTCCAGTATATGGATCTATTCCTCCAGTATATCCTTTACCAATTGGCCTAGAACCATATCGAGGAGCTACATCAATACCTAAACTAGATTATTACTATGAACAGTTATTTAGAGCTTTGGACCATAAAACACATCTATCACATCTAACATGGATATGAACTAATTTCACACTGTTTTGAGTACTGACAATCTCTTTCCTCTGCTTCTCCATCTTAAACCTTATAAGTTTTACGCTAGCATTGCAGTCAGCATTATCTAGAGATGAAGTACATCTCAAGGTGAACTAATTCAACAAAACATTAAGACGCACCAATTATAAAATTAATTTTTGGTACTCATGGATATACAAGTCATACCTTAATTGTTGCAGTCCCCACCATAAACAATAAAGGTATTTTGGAATAAAGGCTGAAGAAACAACATGTTTCTTTACTGCATTTTCAAATATTCCAAACTTGAAATTAATATCCTTATTATTGGGATCACAGCTGCTAAACACATTAGTACTATTTGCCCATAACTTGCGCAGCTCAACATTCAAAGAACTGCAGTCCAGGTAGCCAAAACAATTTTCAGGATTTTGTTCCTTTTTGCAAAAGGATTTCAAACAAGTAGTGTATCGGTCCACAGATAGAAGATACCAAGATGCCCCTAGAACCTGCAATAACAGAAATGGAAACATACTGTTAATTTCTTATAGCAGAAAACTAGACTTAAGTCAATAAGATTCAAACTTCAAAGAGTTCAGATGTGGTGCAGCTGGGTGTGTTTGTGTGTGTGCTTGTGTGTGAGTGTGTGCGTGTGTCTGTGTGTGTGTGTGTGTGAGAGAGAGAGAGAGAGGAGAGAATTTAAAAATTGAATCATCAAACCAGTGGAAACTTCATACGTGGCTAGCTAACATATACAGCAGCAAGTTATATGCAGCTCCTGCCCAAGCAGTCTTCGTAACCACTCCTGTCGCTTTGATTATTTGAGAACTTAACGGAAAAATCAAATATAATCTTGGAACATATTGGAGCAAAACAATCAATGCAAGCGCATTATTCTTGTGATCAGTCTGAGGGCTTCTTGTTGCTGGGATAATAAACCAGATGACCATCTGAAAGAGAAAAAAGTTCGATAAGCTCCCTCACCTGCAAAATACTTCAAAATTTACACCAACTAAACTGCTCTGATTATATAACTTTTCGACTAAATATTTTCCTCAATTATCTCTATCTCCATTTCTATGGTACAAATCAACAGCGAGAGAAGTTNTACAAGTCATACCTTAATTGTTGCAGTCCCCACCATAAACAATAAAGGTATTTTGGAATAAAGGCTGAAGAAACAACATGTTTCTTTACTGCATTTTCAAATATTCCAAACTTGAAATTAATATCCTTATTATTGGGATCACAGCTGCTAAACACATTAGTACTATTTGCCCATAACTTGCGCAGCTCAACATTCAAAGAACTGCAGTCCAGGTAGCCAAAACAATTTTCAGGATTTTGTTCCTTTTTGCAAAAGGATTTCAAACAAGTAGTGTATCGGTCCACAGATAGAAGATACCAAGATGCCCCTAGAACCTGCAATAACAGAAATGGAAACATACTGTTAATTTCTTATAGCAGAAAACTAGACTTAAGTCAATAAGATTCAAACTTCAAAGAGTTCAGATGTGGTGCAGCTGGGTGTGTTTGTGTGTGTGCTTGTGTGTGAGTGTGTGCGTGTGTCTGTGTGTGTGTGTGTGTGAGAGAGAGAGAGAGAGAGGAGAGAATTTAAAAATTGAATCATCAAACCAGTGGAAACTTCATACGTGGCTAGCTAACATATACAGCAGCAAGTTATATGCAGCTCCTGCCCAAGCAGTCTTCGTAACCACTCCTGTCGCTTTGATTATTTGAGAACTTAACGGAAAAATCAAATATAATCTTGGAACATATTGGAGCAAAACAATCAATGCAAGCGCATTATTCTTGTGATCAGTCTGAGGGCTTCTTGTTGCTGGGATAATAAACCAGATGACCATCTGAAAGAGAAAAAAGTTCGATAAGCTCCCTCACCTGCAAAATACTTCAAAATTTACACCAACTAAACTGCTCTGATTATATAACTTTTCGACTAAATATTTTCCTCAATTATCTCTATCTCCATTTCTATGGTACAAATCAACAGCGAGAGAAGTTTGCAATAAAGTAATACGGTGTAAATGATCCAGCAGTGCCACACTAGAACAACACACCTGGGGTAGAGGGAGTGTAGCAATAAAATCAATGAAGAAATCAGATCTGAAATATCTTCTTGCAATCTTCTTTGGGTCCATGACAAGTTCTCCCCTGCCAAATACCCGTGAGCTGGGTGCCACATATGCGGTCCTGAACTTAATTATCAGGTGCAACAGATAAAAGAGGTCCGCAATAGTGCGCAGAAAGGTCACAACAATGCGCAATGTTAGGTCTGTCCTTACACATGAAGACCCTGCATTTTCTATCACACTAGGCAAATAAAAGTACAATGGATCAACAAAAAGAGCCACCAAGCATGAAACTATGAAGACCCGGTTCCATTTCAACACAATCTCACTACCAGGGTCAAGTATTCTTTTACGCCACGGCTCATGGTCCTCCGGGAATACCTTCGATCCACTAATTCTAAATGTTTCAACAATTCTATTTTTGCCCAATGGCAGCAAATTGCTAGGTTTAAGCGCTGGAGGCTCAGCTGCTCCCCACAGCGATTTTTTATGCTTTTTACCATCCGAGTAGAACCTAAAATGGTAAACTCTTAGAACACACAAAGCAATGTTCTCAAATGGTAAGAAAAATAAAACCGTTGAAGAAACAGAATTGATTTATTTGCAGTGAATGAATGAGTTTGAACAGTACCGAGTAGGGAAATGAAAAAGTAAAAAGAAATGAAAATCTTCAGTTAAATTCACGCATTAGAGAGGAATTCGTGGAGGAAGCTTGAAGCTTTAGCAATTAATCGATGGAGTCGTAACAAATTAAGATACCTGACAAGCTTTCCCTTTTTCAATTCCATGGGAAAGAAGAAGCTGAATTGTATCCTTTAAAGCCCTAACATGGAATCAGAATCAGAGGTTCAACAGAGTGGGATCTTTCACTGAAACCGCAAATTCAGACTTCAATCGACAATTTTAGTCAACAATTGTTGACTAGAGCTTCAACGTTGGTAAAGGAACGTATTAATAATGCAGAGACCAAACGTCGTCGTCATTGTCACTGATAAGTTAGTCCAAATAGTCACATCCACTTAATTCCGTCGAAAAACCCGACCCGTTAAACTAGGCTTTGTCTAAGGTGAAGTCGATTTTAAGTGGATTTTGAACAAAGTGGATAATTTTTATAGCTTAAATTAGTAAGGTGATTAATATATGAATAATTTTTATTTTAAATGTTAAGTTGGAAATCTGAAAAATGGAACATATCCATCCTTTTAAGTTTTTTTTCTTATTGTTTTTGTCAAATTGAAACATGATCTTAATTTTTAAAATATGTTCATTAAGATAGATTTAAAAATATTTTAGAAATAGAAATAGGTTAAAAGACTAATATCCGGAAAAATTTATATATATATATATATATATATAATAAATACTTCTTAGGACTTAAACTAAAATTTTATAATTCCTTAGTCAAACAATTCAGGAAATTAATTCATTAAGCGCTCAAGAATAAAATTAAGTAATATATTAAAAACGTATAATTAATTTGAGCTTAGTATTAAAAATACTACCAATTTGGGTCAATAGTTAATGGAGTAACAAATTCACCATGAAAAAAAGTCCTCGTCATTGACAACTTTAACGTTTTTTTAATAAAGTTTTCACTTTAGTGGCAACTTCAATTTTCTTTTTTCCTTTTACGAATTCCATTACGTTTAACTTTATATATATATAGGGGTTTGCTAACGCGCGTACGCCTGTTTTTCAGTTGGTACATTTTAGCAATGTGTACCGGATTTTAGTAGACAAAAATACCCTTATATATCATGGATTCTAAGTTTTAAGGTTAAGGGTATTTTAATAATTTTCATTCTCAAAACTTAAAAAAAAAAAAAGAAACCCCCCAAACCCTTACTCACCTCTCTCATTCTTCTCAATCCTTTCTCTTTCATCTCTCACACTCCAACCTTTTCTCTGTCATCCCTACTGTAACCCCAATTGAAAAAATCAGAAACACTTGCTTTTAAACAATTTGTCTTTCTAAAAAGTTGAGTCATTGACATATTCACCTTGAGGCAAAGGTTCATTCAAGATCTCTTCAATTTCACCATCTTCACTAATTTCTCTAATTTCATCATGTGCATACGTTGAATCATCATCTCTAAAAAATCCTCCAGGCCAATTACCAATTCTTTCGGATGTCATTATGCTTGTGAAAATTAGATAAAATTAGATAAGACAAAAATTATAAAATAAAAACTCATTATAAAATCATTTTTTTGTAAGATTGTTTAATGGCAAGTGTTTATGATTTTTTCATTTGGGGCTACAGTAGGGTGTTTCTGATTTTTTCAATTGGGGCTACAGTAGGGATGACAGAGAAAAGATTGGAGTGAGAAAGATGAAAGAGAAAGGGTTGAGAGGAATCAGAGAGGTGAGTAAGAGTTTGGGGGTTTCTTTTTTTTTTTTAGTTTTGAGAATGAAAATTATTAAAATACCCTTAACCTTAGAACTTAGAATCCATGGTATATAAGGATATTTTTGTCTATTAAAACCCGGTACACATTGCTAAAATGTACCAACTGAAAAACAGGCGTACGCGCGTTAGCAAACCCCATATATATATATATATATATATATATATATATATATATATATATATCAATTAAATTTTTCTATTAATTTAATTAGAATCAAAACTAATAATACATATACTTTTTTTATTCTTATTAAAAATAATTGTCACGTGTATATAATACTATTCGTATACGTGTATTTTTCTAACAATATTTAATATTTAATAATAAAATTATTTACTTTATATATATATGATTATTTGAAATGTATATTTTTACTTTATATATGATCTTACTTTAACTTTTGATATACAAAAGCAATGGTAATTTTATTGTGTTTCATTCTTATTGTATATTCTTATTTGTTAGAGAAAGTAACAATGTAGAAATATGCTTCACAAATAACATGAATTATAACTATGCAATATATGTTCTTGTAGCGATTTAAGAGAAAGGTAACAATTTGACACAAAGGAAAAAATAGCTTAACTTAATACAACCAAACTAAAAACTCACTTTTGAAAAACATATATTTGATGTACAATATTGACTATTTAACTTTAAATAGTTGCTTAAGATGGAAGAGATGACTGTAGTCCACATAGCTGTAATTTATTACAAATGTTGGTACGTAGTGATCAACGATGGTCGTTGAATATGTAAAGAAAAAGATATTTCGTACAAATTTTTTATAACATTTTGATGATATATGTGTCATTTTTTTTATTGATTTATTATTTATTTTTTATTAAATTGATATGTTCTAAACTCAATAAAAAAAATAGCATATATAGTGTGAGAATCTAAAAAAGCTGATAGGGTATTAAGTAAATGAAAACAAAATTTCTTTCTTAAAAACACATTTTAGAACATCTTGGTTCATTAGCCAAGCCCTACTCTCTTTCTCTAGAACTCAGCTCTTCCAAGTTCTCTAACTTCTCTCTACCAAATCTCTTCATTGAGTCGTTTGTTTTCCGATCAGGTGGTGTCCCAGTACCCGCGACGTAGAGGGCTCCGTTTTAAACTGATCACTTTTTCCGTTCTTCATTCCAACTGGTAAGTAATTTCCTTTCCTCCTCCTCTGCTGTTTTAGAACCTAGAACATGCAGTTCTACTAGTTGCATGTATCTTGTGTTCCCCCTTTTCCCACTCTGCTAAATCTTGAGCTCTAAGAGTCGCTTTCGTCACCAATGTGGTGGCTGTAGGGTGATGTCTAGGTTCTTGCTGAGTCCGACACTGTTGAGTCGTTCTTGTGAGTTGGGCTGCTCAACTCTAAGGTAAGGGGAGTTAGAATACTTCTTTATTTTTGTGATATGATATGAATGTATGTTGAAATTTGACTATGTACGTTGCTTCAGAATAGTATTTTTGGTCTGATATGTATATGGTGTGGTTTGTGCTGAAACTGAATTCTATGAAGTTGTGCTGTGATGTTTATAATTGTTTTGGATGAATCTTGATGTTGTAATTTGAGCATGTTGGAAGTGCTTTTAGTGACAAATCTGTTATAGTTGAATTAAATGGAAAGTTAAGTAAAATTATAATGTTTTAGGGCAAATTGGAGGAAGTGAGGTAGTGATTTTGGGCATGGGTGGTCTTGAGTGCAATTGGGATGTTTGGGTAGCTCAGATAAGTCAATTGTGACTTGTTAGGAACTTTAAATTGGCCAAAAACATGTTAAAAGTGGTATAACTAAAATTGGGCCTCCAAGTTGTTGAAATTGGTGTTTTAGAGCAAGAACTAAGTCTTAAACCTTTTAGATTGATTGTAGGGATGTTTAAAATCAGTTAGATAAGTACAATCAGGGTTAAAACTCAAATTAGGGGTGTTAGAAGTTAGGGAATTGGTCTAGAAATGGTAAAAGGGTGTGTGAGTGCACAATTCTGCATAATTATGCGTTCTGCAGATTATGCAGTCTCGCTACGCGGATGGTTTCGCATAGCGAGACCCTGTAGAAGGGTGCTCACGGTTTAGTCATTTACTGTGCGAAATGGTGCGTTGTGCGAATGACTAGATAATGTTGCTCTCTGCTTGGTGATTCGCATAGCGAATCTCTTCGCTATGCGATTGGGATGAGTCTAGGGTTGCATTTTGGTTAATTCGCAGAGCAAAGGGGGCGCATAGCGAGTTGTCTTAGGGGGTTGGTCTCTGTCTGAGCTCTCGCATAACGACTAGGGTGCGCTATGCGAGAGGCATGAGGTATGGCACCTCTGTGATTTAATTCGCAATGCGAATAGTGTGCGTTGTGCGAAACGTTCTCAATTTCGCTGTGCGAGACGTTCAGGGTTTTATTCTCTATCTTCTCTTTTGTATTGTTTCACATAGAGTTGAATGTTGTATGGGTTGTGAAGTATGTGTTGGAGCAGATTGTATTGTATGATGAGATTCAAACATGTTGTATACTGTTAAAGTGAAAGTGTATGTGATTCAAAGGTATGATTGGTGATTCAAAGTATGTGGTTTTAAAAGTATGGTTGATGGACGTAATTCCATGGATCTCAAAGGGAGGTTACATGGTGATGCACTATATTATTGGACGTAATTCCATGATCTTCAAGGAGAAGATCCATGGTGGTGCCATTAGTGTGTTTTAGAATGATTTGCATGGAAGCTTAGTCTTGGGGGTTATCCTGAAACTACAATGGTCAATCATTCTCAAGTAGAGAGGATTGAACCATGTCGTGAGTAGTAGCAGGAGGTCCTAATCTTGGGTGCTTCCAGTATGGCCTAAGGTGAGTGATAACGGACTAACCTCGTGAGTGTGGTAGGGTGAAACCAATTGGCAATGACATTGCAAAGCAGTAGAGGCCACCACGAGGGCATGACCCGCCATATCTCGGCAATCATTCTAAGTCCGGATGAGTCAAGTGTAAAGTGTAACAAGTGGTGTTGTATGGTTCATTAACTTTGAATTAAACTTGCATGTTGTGCGTGATTGTTATAACATGATTTTTGTATATCTAGCTCACCCTTCTGCTTGTGTTTGTCTTTTGTTTGTGTGTGTTTTCTGTTGCAATGATCATCCATTTGGATGTGAGGAGAGGTAGATGAGGTGTTTTTAGAGCAGGCCTTGGAGGGAGATGACACCGCTGCTTAGCCTAGTTATGATCCATAGGCTTCTGTTTATTTTGAAATACTCTATTGTGTTAAAGTTTTAAATTACAACCACTTTTGGGATGTCTGTAACCTTAAGACTTTATCTACAAGTCTTCTTCTAACTGTTCTATTATATTAAAATGTGGACTACTATATTATATAATTTTGGGTTAAATATGTTTTTAGTCCCTAAACTATTGGCCGTTTCTGGTTTTCGTCCCTCTTTCAAAGTAAGGTACAATTTGGTCCTCATTCTTTTCGAAAACGTTCGTTTTAGTCCTCGAAAACTAACACCCTTTAAAAAGTTGGTCCTCATTTAGCAACAAAATGAGGACTAAAACCAAAGTTCCGAGGACTAAAACGAACGTTTCGAAAAGAATGAGGACCAAATTGTACCTTACTTTGAAAGAGGGACGAAAACCAGAAACGGCCAATAGTTTAGGGACTAAAAACATATTTAACCCTATAATTTTTATATAATCTGGGATGTTATATGTGTTAAAATATTATAAAAATATTTGTGTAAATATATCATTACCTATATATAAATATGTATTTCAATGTATAATATGATTTACTGAACTTCTATCATAGGAATTAAATATCAAATATATTACATGAACTTGAAAAGTCTTGAGTTGGAAACCAATAAAACAATTAAATTACCTATTCAAACGTACCAAGATGTAATATAATTTTCATTAAATATGGAGATTTATGTTTATTGAAATCAGACAGGAACCACAATTGAATTATATGAACCATCACATTCCAATTTTCTCTTCCTATAGTTACTTTCCTTTAAAGATATATTTGTTTCAAAAATTATACTATGCTTAATTTTGTACGTCCGAGTTACTATCTCTTAATTTATAATAGTGAATATGACTTATTTTTTGTCTGATTTAAATTTACATAAAATCTGTTAATTACATATGCTAATTTTTAGTTGCAGCTAAACTATAAAAAAAATATATTTCAGAATCATGATACAATCTTAAATAATCAATACGCATGCCATGTTGATTTTCTAATGACGTAATTCCTTTAAACAATAGTTATGTCTTTTTTATCCGTTTTGTTGTTCACAATACAAACGAACAACACTAATTATCATTAATTATGATGAACATAATCTGTGCATCAATTTTATAATATATTTTATCAATCAATTAGCTATAACTTAGTTTATCATAAAAGCATAAATAAATTGATGCAAATATGATTTCGTTCATTCTTCTTTCCAATATTTGATTTGACAATTTGACTCTGAAACGTAAAAAATATCTTTTAGTACTATAATTCAATAACTTTATTAACCAAAACAAAAGTGATTAATCTTTAGTCTTCATTAAGAAATTAATCAATATCATTAAAAGGTGTTGAACAAATTCAAGAACTAGTAATAAGTTTGAGCATAAGTAGATAAAAAAAAATTAGCAGGCTTTTTGTCTTAATATCTATTGAATTTATTGATTGTGATTCATATTTTTTTTATATTCTCAACTTAGTTTAATGATTTTCTCATTGACAAATACACTATTGATGATTTAAAATACTAATAAAAATTGTGTCATGTTTGTAGCCTTTTTTTACTACTGGTTCTCATTTTCTTCTATTTCTCATTTTTTCTATTTAGTCTTTCATTTTTATCAATGACTTGCTTGCTATTTGTTCTCCGTGTAGTTAGAAAAATGATACTTTGATACACATAAAAATTGTACATTTTTTTTAGTTTATTCTTTTAAAAAAAATACAAAAATTTATTTATTTATGATTATTTTATCTTTATACTATATGTAAAATGAATATAAAAATGTATTATTTTATCATTATTTGTGTTATTATAATAGAAACTTCACAATCAACAGTGATTACGGTTTATATAACCAATATATATAGTTTCTCATTATTATAGAAGTAGGAGTTTCCATATTTTTTAGAGCAACTACATTTACTTGTTCTAAAAATTCCTATTTGTCAAGATAGTCTTTGTAACAAAAAATTAATAAAAAAAATACATTTAACTTATTTTAATTAGAACATAGTCTCTTAAAATAAATATAAAATTTGACAAGTATTGAAAACAAAATGACTATTTAATCTTTAGAGTAAAAGTGAAAGTAGTTACGAGAGTATTTATTGGTTAGAATGAGATTTCTGTGTCTCAAAGAAGATTTATATGCAAAAGACTGTATAAAAAATCTAAGATTTCTATAAATATAATGAGTATGATAATAATTATGAAGTGAAAATTACTAAGAATACTAGTTTTATTTATAGAATTAACATGCATCACAAATCTATATTTTCATTATGGTAATGCTTACTTCAAATATATAATAATTAATAACCATAATACTAAATTGTCAGTTTATAATATGTTTATATTAATTATAATACGTGAATATTATCTAAATATGAGTTGCTCCAAAATAAAAAGATTTATATCATAGTTATTGAACTGAGTAATAACAACATGCATGTACAGAAATCCTAGAATTTAAAAAACTAATTAATAATCTAACCAAGCTGTCACTCTTCTCCCTTGTCATCTCTGAGGTTGGATAAAATTATTTTTCCATATATAAATCTACTAATAAACATATGTTAAAGAATAGGAACAATGAAAAGTGAGAAAATAATTGTTTATGTGGGAAGAAAACAGAAGAAAAAGTTGACATGAATAAAAATAAATAAGAGGGAGTAAAGTTGAAGTAAAGACAAAGAAGAAAGAATTTAGCAGTTAAGCCGGTTATGGAGACGGCCAGAAACAACGATCCGTAGCCGGCTATCCCTGTGATTGCCAGCACAATCAATTCCAACCCTTTTCCCTTTTTCCTCACTTTATAATCCTCTTCATTTCAGGACTCAGTCATATTTTCTCTTCTTCTCTCTGCTCTCACATTTTCATCCATGGGGAAGCAGCAAAGACAGAAAATCAATGCAACCACTAAGGACAAGAACCTTAACTCCACAAACACTGTCACCACCAAGGTCAAACGAACAAGAAGAAGTGTCCCCAGAGATTCCCCTCCTCAACGCAGCTCAATATACAGAGGAGTCACCAGGTTATCCCTTTGTTACCATTTCACATTTCAATCATCATTTTTATGCAAGATGGTCTCCGACATTCATTCTCAACATGTGTTATACAGGCACCGATGGACAGGCCGATATGAAGCTCATTTGTGGGACAAAAATTGCTGGAATGAGTCACAGAACAAGAAAGGACGACAAGGTTTCATGCCCCTTTCTAAGCCATGCAATTTTATTTCTTTAATGTTATCTTGATGAAGTCACTGACGTGTTTCCTTTTCGACTTGGCAATGGTTCTTCACATGTCCTACGTTAACAGTCTACCTCGGTATGTGTATATAATAGTGTGTCTTGTTCCTAGTATTACATGATTTGATGTTCATGAAAGTGAAGAACTATTGGAGTGATTAATGGAGTGTAATCTGTTGTTGAAGGTGCTTATGACGATGAAGAGGCCGCAGCACACGCTTACGATCTAGCAGCATTGAAATACTGGGGTCAAGATACCATCCTTAATTTTCCAGTATTGTCTCTCTCTTAAATCACCACTCTCTGAAAGGAAATCTCAACCCAAATGGGATATTTTTTTAGGAAGAAGTTTTTTGGAAAAAAAATAATACTTATAAAACATGATATCAATTCATAAAAAAATATGAATTCAATTTACATGATATTCCTCTGACTCAAAATATTAAGATAGTTTATTAATCTTTCTTCCACAATGCTTAATTTTTTATTTCTACTTAAAATGAAATTTAAACTAATGTTTTGAAATTCTCAACCTAACCTTAAATAGTAAAATAGTATAGTTTAGTGAATAAATTGAGGAAAATTTTCTTTTCGCACTTAAGAAAAAATATACTTAACAAAAAAATTTGTGACTAAGATGTGTTAGTGCAGAAAAATAAAAAGAAATTAAAAATATTTGTTTTCCAATTGCAGTTATCTACTTACCAGAATGAACTGAAAGAAATGGAGGGTCAATCTCGAGAAGAGTATATTGGATCATTACGAAGGTAAAGCTCTTTCTTTTATGCTTCAAGATTAATTATTGCAGAAAGCAAAACTTTAAATTTAAAATATGCAGGAAAAGCAGCGGTTTTTCTCGTGGAGTTTCTAAATACAGAGGTGTTGCAAGGTACTATTCCCTCCAATTTTTTTAATATGCGATTTCAAGGGAATTATTTTTCTATCTATTGTTATTTATGAAGTTGTATATCAGAAATTTGTAAATGTGTTTATTGTGATATATACCGCTTCACTTTATTGCATTAACATTTATGAGTAAATATTATTTTTCTCCTTTAAATGATCAAACTTTACTTTTTATCTCTAAACTTTTCTTTAATATTTCTTTTAAAACACTATTTAAGCTTTTTTAATTTAAAAAAAGGATAAAAGTAAAATCTACTTCCACCTCTTTTTTAAGTGATCAATTGAAAAAAAAAACTTTATTTTTATTCAATTGAAAAATTTAAAATTTAAAATTTAAAACAAGTAATTACTTTTCTGTCATTTTATTATTATTTTACCTAATTTTGAATTAGATTTTATATTTTGTGATAGATAAATGAGTAGAATAAAATATAATATCTTATAAATATTTATTAGAATATGAAAAATATTATATTTTAATAAATATAATATTAAAGTTTTTTTTCCTACTTTTAATATATTGTTTTTCTAAATTCAGACACCATCATAATGGAAGGTGGGAGGCTCGGATTGGCAGGGTTTTCGGCAACAAATATCTTTACCTCGGAACTTACGGTACAACTTCACCTTCAATTCTTCTTTTACGATTTTAATATAACAATATTATTTCTTTTCATTTGTCATTTTCTCTAAATACAAAAATTATAATATTTAAAAAAGTATTTGAAACATTAAATAAATATTTAGTAGCGACATATTGAAAAAGTTGGAATTTTGCAGCAACGCAGGAAGAAGCTGCGACAGCATATGACATGGCAGCTATTGAATATCGAGGACTCAACGCTGTCACCAATTTCGACCTTAGCCGCTACATAAAGTGGCTTAAGCCAAACAATAACGATAACACTGCGAACTCTAATGTTCTTGACGCTAACCCTAATTCTGAGACCAACTTTACCCCAAATTCTAATCAACAACAAGGATTCAATTTTTTCCAGAGTCAAGAATCGACGGTGACTCAGCCTCGATCTTCTGGTGCCACGTCAGCCCTAGGACTTTTGCTGCAGTCATCCAAGTTCAAGGAGATGATGGAGATGACTTCCGCCGCCGACTTGTCGACGGCGGCGTCGGAGTCTGAGTTGGTGCCGTGCACGTTTCCCGATGATATTCAGACCTATTTCGAGTGTGAAGATTCCAACAGATATGGAGAAGGGGATGATAACATGTTTGGCGAGCTCAACGGGTTTGTGCCCCATATGTTCCATTGTGATGACTTTGAGTCTTGAAAATGCACGGTGGAAGTAGAAGATTGTTTGCAGTTGCTTTGTTGATTTATTTTTTTCATTTGGCTTATTTCTCAGTTTGTGAATATGAACAGTAATTTGTTGATAGTGAGACACTGATCAAAAAAGAACAAGAAGAGCAGTGCATTATTTGGGAAACTGAACTTGGATTAGTGATCATGGTCAGAGGAGGATGCATGCCAAGTTCTTTATTTGTTGTAGCTGAAAAGAAAATAAGCATCTCAATAAAGATGCAAAATAAACATATTTTACCATTTTTTTCCTTTACAAACAGGAATAAATTGTTTCTTATTTATAAAGCTAGCTTAGTGGATATTGAATACGATTTGTAAGTTAAATTTTTAGCAACTTCAATCTTACGAAATATTTATAATTTTATGTATGGAGAAGATTTATGGTTACGGCCAAAATGTTTTGGTTCTAATTCTTGCAAATGTAACTCTGTTTCATAAAACACACATATTATAAGGTTTATTAGAAGGTTCATAATGATGTATTTTCTGAGTTGGATGTTGTTAGTTAAGGTTGTTAACTCTGAGCTGGAACGACTAAGATTAACTTCATGTATGGAAACTAAGATAAAACCATCTATATGAAGCAATCAAAAGGATTTGAAGTAAAAGATCATTGACTTATACTCAACTTATATTTAAGACTTTCTATTAAAAGAATCTGATTATGTTTTTGTGAACATTCACTATTTAGTTACCCAGACATGGGTTTTCTTCTATTGTTAAGCAAGTCTGCATAAGAAATTTTTTACTGTTAGGTACTTAGGTAGACTTGATCCTTTCTTTTTAGATTTTGAGGGCTTAACAAAACCACATCTATAAGGTTCAGAAGATTCATGATAACAGTTCTTAGGAACTTTGCCTTCTTCGTAGCCTAATCCACATTTTTCCAGTGATTTTTGAGATGATTTTATAAGAAGATTTATCCTCTTATCCCTTTTGGTAGACATGGAAATATCTCCACTAAGTTTCAGTATATTGAACCAGACTATGTACGTCCATGGCATGATTGTCTAAAGGTCTTTTCTCCACATTCTTCATTTTCAAAAGAAGAGAATTCTTTTTCTTTGAAATATGAAGTTAGAGTAGTAAAACTTAATTTTAAGCTTTTGTATTCCTTATTCAGTTTTTCCATATCATATACAAAATCTTTGTTTTCTTTTGAAAGATTGTCTACCAAGATAGATTATATTTTTAAGACATGGATATATTTTAGAAGGTTTTGCACTTCTCTTTGTATAATTTTACAAGATTTAGAGAGAAGATAAGAATTAGACAAAAAGCTCATTCATTATAAGCTTCTACGAAAGAAATCTATCATTTTACCTAAGTTGTTTGAAGAGGGTTCAGACAATATGTCTACCCCAAGAGATAAAACTTTGTCCTTTCTTTGTATTTTTCTTTGTTTATCATGTTCTTTTTTCCTCCTCTTAACATTCTAATATGAAATGACAATATGTTTTGCACTCATATTCTCTTTTAGCTCTCTTTTTTGAGGTAGAACTCTTATACCTTGGAAGCCTCATCTTCTTTCATATTTACCAGTTCTTTAGCCTTGAAGGGTTTTGTTGAATTACTCCTCTAAAGGGGGATTCTTCCTGCACCCCATCGTTTTCTTCCTGCATCCCATCGTTTTCTTCCTGCACCGCATCGTTTGACAGTTCTTTAGCCTTTAAAGTGATTAAAAAAAATGTTAAAAAAAGTTAATTGCAAACTCAGTGTGGAGAATATAGATTATTACACTTTTTAGAGATCAAATTAAAAGATGATTGATGAATTAAATGAGAGAAAATTAAAAATATATACAAAGTTAAACACAAAATAAAATAATTTAATGTGGTTAAGATGGAAATTTTTTCTATAATTGCTGAAATTGAGTGAATAGCACATCAGAGCATAGACTTTAATCTCAATTCCTCATGACTGGTGCGACAGACACAACCTCAAGAACCACTTGTTTTTATGCCATGATCACGTGACTCCAGTGGCTGCAGTTTTATCGATGGTTTCTATCAATAAAAGATTATAAGCAGACATGCCTTATGCAACAGGCAAACAATTTTCAGCTTTATGGTTTTTCTTAATCTGTTTCTTAATTATGTTTACTTCTGTCCCTTTTATCACTAAGCAACATAATAAGAAAATATTTGCATTATAGAACCTTCACTACAAGAATACCTTACTTTGGTTCTGTTCTACAATACTGTAAAAGTTTCTGAGTAATACAGTCCATCAGTTTTTTCCTTTAAAAAAGTGCTCAGCTTCTCATGATCCGTGTGAAATATGGAGTAAGAAAAATAATTCAACTAGAAGAAGGCAAATCCAGAATTATTGGTAATGCGCTATTAGCCTACAACTAAGGCAAGCATCCACAATTGCAGCACATGAAAGAGCAGAAACATGGCAAGTTAAGGATCATCAACGTTCTATGTCCTAGGTGTTTCATGTAAGTATCTACACTTACAAACATAATCTTACAATTTAAGAAACGGGTTCTGACAATTTGGCTGAGCATCAAATTTTGTCTCCTGTTTGTAGTCTGCCATACCTCTTTTGACAGAGTGCATTGGGTTGAAGAACTAAAATTAAACTAAAACGAATTCTGTAGTAAAACTCACGTTCCAAAATACCGTATGGCATAATGTTATAAAGGTTGGACGAGTTCATTTCACCCCTCTATGAGTTCATCTTCTCATGGTTACCGAAACACCAAACTAAATATTTATTTGATCTCTTTGAATTGAATCTATCAGGAGTTGAGGCAGGTCGTGAATTTTAACTCCTTATATGTTCTGTGCATTTTGGCTCTCTCATTCAATTGTTTTCTCATAGTTGCAGAAAAGTTAACTGGGGATATATCTCTTCTTTTGCAGCATTTGATCGATTGATAGAGACTGAAGAAGAAAACATGCACGTAAGTTTCATTCCAGGAGAAGTACAGGATCTATGGGATAATTGGGGTCTGGAAATGCTTGTGCTATTGAGTTTCACCATCCAAGTGATCCTCACAGTGTATGGAAGCCGCAGAAAGGACATCCCAGGTTTGAGGACAAGGTTCACAGTTTGGTTCACCTATTTGCTGTCTGCTTCCCTTCAAAAAATCATCATAGGCAAGCTTACAGTAATACCTGAAAGTGATCCAAGCGAACGCAACATAAGACGTGAACTGAAGGCACTGTTTGCACCATTGCTTCTGGTGCAAATTGGAAATCCAGATGCCATAACTGCATACTCAATTGAAGATAACAGATTGGGGCTGAGGCAGTTGCTCACCCTTGTTCTCCAAGTAGCTGTGGTGATTTGGATCATCATAAAGAGTTGGACACATTCACAACTCTCTTTTCTGTACTTGCCATTACTTGTATCTGGACTAATCAAGCATGGAGAAGTTGTTTGGGCTCTAAAGTCAGCACTTACTAAAGGATCGGGCATAATCACCATTCAAGAAATTGACCAAGAAGCCAACATGCCTGCTTTATTCAGATTCCTTCCTGAGGATATTCCAAACATAGAGTTGATCCTAAAGGCTTATTACCGCTTTATCTCATTGAAGCCCCATCGTGAGCATTGGCTCTACCAGCCTTTATACGAATCGCTACCCCATATGTCTATAGATGAGTATGCTCCAGAAGACATCTTCCACATCACAGATGCAGAACTGAGCTTCATGTACGATGTGTTGTACACCAAGTCACCTATAATCTATACCAAAGCAGGTTGTATTCTTCGTGTCGTAAGCTTTTTCAATTTAGTTCTAACATTGTGTGGATTCTCAGTCTTATTTAGGCAAGAATTTTCACGCCATTGGAAAGCATGTTTTATAGTTGGGGTGTTAGGTGGAGCAGTTCTCATGGAGGCATACCAGATTGTACAATTACCGTTCTCAGATTGGGCCATAATTCAAATGATCAAGCACAAAGATCTTCCACTAATGATTCCATGCTTGAGAATTCTTGGACCCAGAGCCAGGAGTTGGAAAAGGTGGTCAAACTCATTGCCACAGTTCAACTTGCTAAGCTTTTGCATTCATGACAAGCCAATAAGGTGTGGAAAAATTCTAAAATTCCGTGGCATTGACGTGGAGTTGAAAAAGAACAGGTGCAGGACACGCATAGAATTTCCCCAAGAACTGAAAGCTCTGATGGTTCAAGAAATGAAAGATATTGATGGAGTTAGAAGACTGAAGCACTTCAACCAACGAGGAGAATGGTCACTCGGCAGGTATGGCTCGCCCAACGACATCAAATGGAGTGTTAAACGAGACTTCGACAAGAGTATTGCAATATGGCACATTGCAACAGACATATGCTACTATTCAGATGCTCATGCCAAGGATTCAAGCCCCAAAATCCAAATGGCCAGATTATTGTCCAATTACATGATGTACCTCCTAGGCATGCGCCCTCACATGCTGTCCACCACCACTGCCAATATAATATTTCAACACGCCTGTGATAAACTGAAGGGTTTGACGGTAGACAAAGAACAATGTGTGAAAGATGAAAAAGAAGCATGCAGGGTTTTGAGAACAGAAAGAGTTCCCCAACATTTAAATTCTGAGCGGAAATCAGAAACTGTTGTGACATCAAAATGGAACATGCTTAGGGATGCTCAGAGACTGGCTAGGAATTTGATGCTAAGGGAGAACAGATGGCAGATCATATGCAGTGTGTGGGTGGAGATGTTGTGTTATGCTGCAGCTAATTGCTCAACAGATTATCACTCTGAACAAATAAGGAGAGGTGGAGGTTTGGTAACACATGTTTGGATTCTGTTAGCTCACAAGACTGATAAATATCACATCAGTGACTAGTAATACATTTACCTGGTTTGGTTTCTCACGAAAGTTGATCTGATTTTGTGAGGTTTACATTCTTCTCTTTGCTTCCGGTTTACGGTTTGTAACGCTATTTGTACGCATTCTGATTTTTTCAGGGACCATTTTAGAATATTCTAACGCACTATGTGATGGAATTTTAGAAATCAATATTCATAGATATTGAGCATATATAGTATGCGAAAACAATGCAATTACAGAATCATTGGTAATACGTGCATGCCTATGAAGGATAGAGTATTTATTTCTATAATACGTGATGCCTATGAAGAACAGGTGCATGCCTATAAAGGATAGAGTTTTTCACCCACCTTCTAGGAAATCAATGAGTTGAGAGATTATTTGTGTAAATTTCTATAATGGGGTGGGGTAATAAATTTGCAAAAGATCGAATACATAGATCATATCTCTAATTGTCAGATAACAGTAAAGATAATATTTTAATTATTAATTAAGACTAATCCATAATTAATTTACCATTCTCCCATTTAGATAGCATTTGTTAACAGCCAAAATATGGATCATTAAGCTAGAATCACAATTACAACTAAATCACATGTCAAAGAACAAGTACAATTTTGAGCAACAAATAACATTCAAGATGGATATATATATATTGCGCAATGGCTAATGAAAAATACAACACTACAATGGTCCAAGTATTTAAAAATGATAATAAGAAACATGCTGAAACTGACATCATCTAAAAGATATCTCCTAAAATATGTATAAAGCCAGACTTCCACTAAGCATACCAAAATTCATAGCCAAACTTACGACCTGCGTGTTTTAGAAAAGCTTGAAAGTTAGGACCTTAGTCAGTGGATATGGAAACATCTCCTTAGCGTCAAGGTACTAAAAATCCAAGTGAGAAAAATTTCAATTTCGTCTATAACTAACTAATACATGATATCAACATGCTTTGAAGGAAGAATAGTTTTTGTTATTTCGAGAAATTTTTACTGCATCAGTATTATTGAATGTAGAGTGACCTAGTCAAAATAACTAGTATTATTGAAAACTCACTGATGTTTATACTTTCGTTTTTCTTTTTAACTAATACACTTTCAACTTTATATAAAAAAGAAAAAAAAAACTGAATCAAACACACACTAAAAACTCTAAAAACAAGCTTTTGAAAACTAACGAATAGGCTCATGACAAAGAATGTGATGTGCATTTCTAGTCAGCACTCATAAGCGTTATTTTTTTTTTCCTTTGTACATCTTAGTAGTTATCTCTTGGGTCCTTCATCTAGCTAATATTCTTTGCATTCCGTCTCTTCTTGTAGACTGAGAGTGGAGAAACTGTGAATCAGTGGCAACGAGTCTTTAAGGTAAAAGACTGGCCATATTTCCAAAGATGGCTTCCAGGGCGCATACCTGTTAACCGGGAGGTTGGCTTATTTTATCACCTTCTGGTTTGCTTACTGACTACGGCAGCACAAGGTCGGTGATCTTGATGCCACCATATGACACATCAAACTATTGCACTTTATCAGATAGAGATCATCTTCAAGCTGTAGAAGCTAATGATTTTAACTTTCAACCGTCAAAGCAGAAAAGATGAAAACAGAATATTGAAAGAGCAAGAAACACGGTTCACACTTTAATAGGCCTGAACTTCTTAGAGCTATGATTTCCCTTAGATTCATCTAAATTCTCCAGTCTTGGTAATCTCTTTGATATAAATAGAGCTTCTTCTCTTCTTCCCCCTTGCTCTAAAGCAGGCAGTAGATCATTTAGACATGTCAATTCCTGACATAAACCTTTCTCCACCAATTCATAGCATAAATTAAATGCTTCTGAGACCTTGTTAGTTTTACAAAGATTCAGAACAATTGCATTACACAAATCAATGTCAACATTCTGATGATTTTTCAAACTAAAAAACAACATTTTGCATGCTTCTGATAGCTTTCCTCTCTCAAAAAGAAATTGAACCACTTCTTCTATTGTAACACGGTATCCATTCTTATAAAGCAAATCAATGATCTCAAATGCTCTTTCTTGCTGTCCACATCTAAAAAGTAGCTTTAAATTTTCAGTTGACAGGTTTATATTCTGTCTAACATTTTTCTCCAGCATCATCAAAATAACACAGGCAGACTCATGAGCACAACCCTTTTCCAAAAGTTTTGCTAGTATGGAATGCCAGGTGGCTGTTTTAGGTTGATAGGAGCTCTTAAGCATTTTCTCTAGTGTCTCCTTTGCAAGGAGAGGCTTATTCTTTAAAAGAAAACCATCAATCAAGTAATCATATATATCAACATCAGGAAGAAAGTCTCTTCTCAGCATCCACACTAAAAGCTCATATCCACTTTCGTATGCACCTTCTTTACAATGCCCCATAATCAACGTGTTGTATAATTGGCCATCTTGTGTGCCCCTTTTCATTAACTGTCTCATCACCCTCTCGGCCTTCTTACTCTTCCCATGTTCACACAAATACTGAATAAGAGGACTATAAGCAGCAGCAAGTGGCATGGAGCCAAAATTACTCAATAGGATTTCCTTCTCAAATAACTCATCAAATAACACCTCTGCCATATCATAGTCCCCTTTCTGACACAAACAACGTATCAGAGGGCTGTAAGAGGCTGAATCCACGCGGACCTGAAATTTCTTCATTCTTTCAAACACCTTCAGTGCTTCATCTAAATTTCCTGCACAACAATGGGAATGAATAATTGTATTAAATGTAAATGTATCAGGGCTAAAACCCCCATTGTCTTTCATCAATAACAAAATATCTTTCATCTTGTCCAACTTCTGTACCTCACAAAGCCCTTTTATCAAAGTATTATAGGTAACCATGTTCGGCTCAATGCCCCGGCCACTCATCTCTTCAAGAACTACCAATGCCTCATCAACTTCTTGCTTCATACAATACCCTCGGATCAAAGTGGTATAAGTAACAACATTAGGATTCAAACCCTCACATTTCTTGCTCATAGCATTTACTAAATTCCGAGCAATTCTAACCTTCCCTGCTCTACATAAACCATCAACAAGAGTGTTATACGTGACAACATCCGGGTCACAATTAAAACTAACCATCTCTTTAAAGAACCGAAACCCTTCATCGACCATTGAGTTTTTGCAAAGCCCTCTAATCAAAACATTGTATGTACAAGTGTCTGGACTAACACCATACGTATGAAGCATTTCATCATACACCTCTTTGGCCATATTGGTGCGACCCCTTTTAAGCAAAATAGACAAAACAGAGTTGAAGGTAATCACGGAGGGGGAAACAGCAACGGACTTCATGGTCTGAAAAAGCTTCAAGGATTCTTTGAAGAGGCCTGCTTCGGCGTAGCTTCTGATGAGGGTATTGAAGAACCTGTCCTCAAGCTTGACGGTTCCGTTAGACTTTTTCTCGATGGAAAAAAGCAAGTTTCGGGCAACGTTGAGGTTCCTATGGCGACCCAGAATTTGTAGCATGATGAAGTAAGACTGAACTGTGTGGGAAAAACCACTTTGCTGAGCCCACTTGAAAAAGCGAAGGGCTTTGGAAGGGTCCCTGATGAGGCGAAGGGTTCGGAGCACCGTCGTTTTGGAGAGAGGGGTGGGCAGAAGCGAGACCAACGCGTTTGACCATGGTTTGGAATTGATAAGATTGGCCATGGTTTTGGCCGTTTTACTTTCATTTCGTGATCTGGGTATTGCGTGTTGAGATTCTGGGTGGTCAGAACAAATGTACCTGAATCTAAAGAATCTGTTATGCAGAAAAAACATAAGAATAAGTCGCAAGAAAATAAAAGAGAGGAGTTTCAAGAAATGCACCTAAGATGAGGATTGAAGGTGGAGACGGAAATGAAACGGAGATTTGAAAATAGTTGTTGTGACGAGAGACTAGGAGGAACCATGTTGAAGGTGTGAACTCAGTATTACATTGGTGCGAGTGTGCCCTACTCATTCCTCCATGGAGTACCGCTACGTTGACAGGGTTTGAGCTCTACATTCGTTTGACAGTGTCAAACGTGGATCTGACGGGCAGCAGAGTTAAAAGGGTTAAATGGGTCATTTTTTATTTCCCTTTATTTTCATGGTTTAATATATGATAAGCTTCTATTTTCGTCTAAAATTTTAAATAAGTTTTTTTATTTTTTGATATCTTAATTGAATTTTTATTTTTATAAAATTAAATTAAATAGAATTTTTTCTGTCAAATTGAAATAACATTATGTTGGCAATGTAATATTTTTATTATGTGATTATATTTTTAATTTTTAAATTAAAAAATAAAATAAATAGAGTGGAAATTGATGCTTAAGTAAGGGTAAAGTTAAAAATTAAATTTTGTTTGAATTTAGAGAAAGATAAAATTATTTAATTTTAAAAAATTAAATAAAGTTAAAGATAAAATAAAAATATAAGAATTAAATTAAAATTAATGGAGTGACATGTGACTTGACAATGACACATGACATTATCAGTATCATGTTACATTGTTATTAACACAATGTTAGATACATGACAATTTTTCTTTTTAATTTTAAAAAAATAAAAGTTAAAAACAAAAGTAATTATAAAAATATTTAAAAATTAAAAAAAGCACATCTAACATCCTCTTGAATGGTATTAATACATAACTAACAACAAAACTTAATTATTTTAATTTTTCAAAAATAAAATCTAATTGAAGACAAAAAATAAATAAGGAACCTATTTAACAAAAATAATCATAAATGAAAACCATCTATATAATTAAACATTTTAATTATTTTAAATTACAACTTACACATAAAAGAAAATAAAATAATTAAAAGAAAAAGAAGCAAATTGAATTAGGTTTCGGTTATTTATTTATATCATTGTGAGTAGAATGATATTTGGCTAAACTTTTTTATAATAAAACAAGTAATAATTACAGACTTAATTATCCATATAGTGAATAGAGGTGTTTATAACTGCTTTCTTAATACATAATTCTATATAGTTTTGATTTTATATTTTTAGAATTATCATTTGTGTACTTTTTTTTGTTTTTCTATTCAAACAAAATTAACTTTATTTTATTAATTTTACTATCCATAAAAAACTACCCATAACTTTGTTCTTTATGTACACAATTTCCTATAATTTTAATCTTTATGTTTTGTAACTATTTTACACATTTATTTATTTATTTTTTCATTTAAATTCAATTAATTTTACTATCTGTAAAATGAATTATCCATAATAAAATTTTAAAAGTTAATAAAATTTATTCATTTTCAAAACCATATTTTATAAACATATATATATATATATATATATTATATAATTTTAGTATAAATTTTAATGACACATTTTTTAATTTAATAATTATAATAATAATATTTTTTATTATCATAAGGAAAAAAGTATTGTGTTTCCACTCGTCATAATGCATTCAATTAAAAGATATTATTAAATTTATATTAAAGTTAAGAAAATTGCATATAAAAAAATTATAAGAAATTATTAATTTTTAATGTTATGATTATATAATAAGAATACTTGTAAATTTGATCAAACCAATAAAATACATGTAAAAGAATAATTTGAAAATATTTTTATTTTTATTTAAAAATTCATAATTACAGTTATAGAATAAAAATAATTGTACCGTTTGTCAGTAATTTTTAAATAATAGAAATTAAAAATTATTAATAGATATAAAAACATAAAAGAGAAAAAAAGGTTAAAAAAAAACGGTACACCCAAATAAAGTTACACGATTCAATTCTATTATCAATTGTTATAGATTTATTTCTGAATTTTTATATTTTTAATAAACTGGCAAAAAGAGGATTTTATCTAAAAAATATACTTTTAGTATGGAAAACGTTTGTGCAAACTTTTTTGACAACAATTTGACAACTAGACGTGTTATTCTGTCATTTGTTGTTTTAAATGATTTTTTTTAAAAGTTTAATTTTGTTTTGGATGGTGTTTTTGGAAAGAAAAATGTGGAAACCTGTTGGTGCCTTTCACAAAGTGAAATTCATTCTTACGAAACTCTCTCACCAGTTTTTCGTTCTCCATTCAAAACTCTCGCTCCACCAATGAAGTGCTCTTTGTCCACCATTGTGAAAATCATTCTTGGATCCACTGTTCTATCTGGACGAAGTCGTGTGTGCGGTCCGCCATTGAAGTGCTGAGAGGAAGTCTCGCTTGAGTCCACCGTTGGCGTCATTTGTCGAAAGGTTTCGTTTTCTCGTTGTCGTCGTTGGTCCTTCGTCGGTTGGGTGCGATGGTTACTTTGTGAGCAGCGATTTTCGTCTTTTATCCAAAGATATTGTTTATTCGCACAATGTATCACGCTTCGTTCTTGTGGTTTTTTGGTTTGTCAATGGTTTCTTCCTTTCTTTGTACTTTGTATCATGCAATGGATGTGGTTACCCATTTTCCTCTTCCAACTTGCAAACTCTTTCTATTAATATTTCACTTTCCATGTCTTTAAAGTTGCTTTTAGGTTCAAGATCTTCACATGCATAGGCTAGCTCATAGACTTTCTCTTCAAATAATGTGTCATTAACAGTCTAGTTGTTTCCTTTAGTAGTTCATGACTTAACTTCTCTTCCCTCACATTAATTTCTCCAAGTTCTTAATGCATGTGCCTTATTTTTCTTCCAAATTTTGATTCACTCCACCAAGGCATCCAAGGTCATCATTTTTGTCAATCGTTACTAGAGAATAGTTTTAAATTTTGACTAGCACCCTTATTAAAGTATCACCCTGGTTTCATCATATATACTCTTGAAAACTTACACCAGTCTTTGCAATTTTGTTTTCTCATCATGTAAAGTGCTAAATATATCCGATTCTTCCAAAATCTCATTTTGCTTTTGAGACAACAATTGTTTTCCATTCTTATTCTGATAACTTAACATATCATGTGACAATTCTTCATATTGTTTCTAAATTCCAAAATGTTTATTTCAGGAGGACTTGACTGTGTTTAGGAAGAAATATATATGTGATTGGATCCTAGACGAGGACAACGTCCGAAGATTTCAAACGCTGCAACATTTTGGATTGGTATAGCATTAGAAATGTGTTCTTGGTTTAGATTCTTATTTATAGCAAATGAATAGACATTGTACACAATTATACTATTAAATTTTTTTACAGAATTGTACAAAATTATAGCAAATGAATACAGCTAAACTATTCTTGATTAATTATTCTTCATATTCATTTTCTTTGTCTGTGTTTTTGGTTGAGTGAGTTTATTCATTAACTTGTTGGGTCAAAATTGATGTGTCCCTATACTGATGAGGAGTTGGATTGAAATAATAAGTTTACTAAATTGGTTGTTGTTGATTGCTTGGAAGTTCTGTTTTTGGAAGACAACTGTTCCCAATTATGTGCATCTGTAATCGATTACGAGTAACATGTAATCGCTTACTAGTGAAAAATCACGAATTTGTACCGAAAGTGTAGCGCCACTCTCCTACTATGGAAGAAGAGCTCCCCATTTAAGGGTTGGACCTAATTTGGTGAAATTTATTGAAAGATCTTCACTTGGTTGGTTGATTTTTATGACCAAGGACGTGTGGATGTACTTAGTGGTGGTTGAAAGGACTTAGAGTGTCCACAAAATTGGTTGCTTATGATTACATCCAAGTGGTGTTGTGAGGAAGAGGAAGATAGGCAGTTATGTGCGTGTGTAATCGATTACGAGTAGCCTGTAATCGCTTACCAGTGGAAAATCACGAATTTGTACAGAAAGTATAGCGTCACTCCCCTGCTGTGGAAGAAGAGCTCCCCATTGAGGGGTTGGACCTAATTTGATGAAATTTATTGAAAGATCTTCACTTGGTTGGTTGATTTTTATAACCAAGGACATGTGGATGTAGTTAGTAGTGGTTGAAAGGACTTAGGGTGTCCACAAAATTGGTTACTTATGATTGCATCCAAGTGGTGTTGTGAGGAAGAAGAAGATAGGCAGTTATGTGCATATGTAATAGGACTGACCTAACCAAGTGGTGTTATGGTTGTTTATGATTGCATCCACATAGGACTGACCTAACTTGAAATTTCTTGTTGTGGACACATTCAACCATGGCCTACAAGGTTAATCAATCCTCAAAACATTGAAAACATAGTCTTGGAGACCCTTGGGGAGTGCTTCAGCCATGACTGGGTAGCATTCCTCAACTTTCGGTACAAAAGGGGATTTTTTTTCACTGGTAAGCGATTACAAGGCCCATGTAATCGATTACATGTGCATCAGACCTATGTCCATGGTGTAGGACCTCCCATCTCAACCTAGGAACACCTTTACTTGGTCTTTCATCCCCATAGGACTGACCTAACTTGAAATTTCTTGTTGTGGACACATTCAACCATGGCCTACAGGGTTAATCAATCCTCAAAACATTGAAAACACAGTCTTACAGACCCCTAGGGAGTGCTTCAGCCATGACTGGGTAGCACTCCTCAACTTTTGGTACAAAAGGGGATTTTTTCACTGGTAAACGATTACAAGGCTCTGTAATCGATTACACGTGCATCAGACCTGTGTCAATGGTGTAGGACCTCCCCTCTCAACCTAGGAACACCTTTACTTAGTCTTCCATCCACATAGGACTGACCTAACTTGAAATTTCTTGTTGTGGACACATTCAACCATGGCTAACAGGGTTAATCAATCCTCAAAACATTGAAAACACAGTCTTGGAGACCCCTATGGAGTGCTTCAGCCATGTCTGGGTAGCACTCATCATCTTTTGGTACAAAATGGAATTTTCTCACTGGTAAGCGATTACAAGGACTTTGTAATCGATTACAACAACATCAGTTTGTGACAATGGTGCATGAACTCACCTCCCAACCTAGAAACACCTTTACATGGTATTCCATCCACATAGGACTGACCTAACTTAAAATTTGTCGTTGTGGACACGTTCAACCATGGCCAACAAGGTTAATCAATCGACAAAACATTGAAAACACAAACGAAAGGACTCTTGGGGAGTGCTGCAGCCATGTCTGGGTAGCACTCATCAGCTTTTGGTACAAAATGGAATTTTCTCACTGGTAAGCGATTTAAAGGACCTTGTA